GAGTTCGACGCAGATCGCCGTCAGTGAATGTGCCGATCAGGTGATGGTCGTCGTCGATCACAAGCAGGCACCCGCAGCCCTTGCTCGTCAGCTCCACCAGCTGCTCCATTATCAGATCTCCTTCCTTGCAAACCGGAAGCTCATCTTCTTTCTTCATCACATCTTTCACCTGCAACTCCAGAAAATTAGGAGAAAAGAAAAGGAAAACCTATAATTGGAGGAGAGATTGAAATTGGGGCAAGAGCAAGATCGGACCTTGAAGATGAGATGCTTGCCGATCCGACCGGCGGGGTGATTGGCGGCGTACTGTTCCTTGGTGAGATTTTTGGCGCCCATGAGTGCAATCGCAACGGTGTCGCCGAAAACCATCTGAATGGCGGTGGAGGTGACCGGAGCCAAATCGAAGGGGCAGAGCTCTCGCTCCAAGGGTAAATACACGTTCATGTCGCAGACGGCGGCGAGGGCATTGCCGTCGACGGAGGTGACGGAGATGAGGAAGGCGCCCTTGGCCTTGGCGCAGGGGACGAGGCGGAGGAGCTCCTCGGTGGTACCGGACTTGCTGAAGAGGACCAAGACGTCGCTTTTAGAGAGGGCGCCGATGTCGCCGTGGAGGGCATCGAGTGGGGAGAGGAAGCCGGAGCGGATGCCAAGGGAGACGAGGGTCTGGGAGATCTTGTGGGCAACGAAGCCGGACTTGCCGACGCCGGAGAAGAAGACGGTGGCGCCAGCGGAGGACTGGAGGAGGAGGGTGCGGGTGAAAGATAGGGTTTGGGAGAGGTCCAGGTGCTGGAAGAAGAAGTTGAGGTGGCTCTGTTGGGATTTGAAGAGGTTGAGGAGGGTAGTTTCGTCAATGCAGGAGGAGGAAGAAGATTGGGTTGCTGTTGTTGCTTTGGGATTGGATAGAGAATGTGGGTTGATGAAGTCTGAGGACAAAGTTGGGAGAGAACCCATGATTTCTGCTCTGCTTCCGCAAACACAGAGAGAGAAGACAGAGAAGAAAGAGAAGGAGATCTGCAGATACTGAGGGAGGGAGGAGGGCGCCTATGTCGGTGGCGCTGAAATCTGAATCAATCAATCATTTTCAGTTCATTTCCTCCTTTCCTTGTGTAATCAATTTTTGTTTTTTTTTTTTGGAGATGATTTTGTGTGGAAATATCTACTTCATTTCATTGGACGTCAAATTTTAGGCTATATTTTCGTGTTAAACTTTTTTATTATAGTCTGGGTCGGTCCATTATAAACCCAATTAAAAGTTTCAACCAGGCCTTTTATTTGAAAAATTATTGGCTGAATTACACGGAGGGTCCAATATTGTATGATCCCATTTAGATTCTTCGGCCCATTACCTCCAAGTCCGAGGGTTATCCTCTCTTTAGATCTTCTTGCATGCATGATCTTCAAAACAACGGAGTTTCTATAACGAGGAGTCGTTCTATGGTGAGGGTGTCATATATGCAGACCTTTATATTAGCCACATGTTTTATCTTAGTTGTAACTTCACTTAAGTTTAATAAAATGATCTTGTGATTAATATGAAGATTCACATGAGTGGTCCATATACGGCACCCTCACTATAAAATTTCACCTATAATGAGACGGTGTGTTAAGGGATTCAATCTAGTCGTCCAATAATAATTATATAATTGATCGGATGGCTATTAAGTACCCTATTATAGTCTCTATGTTAAAACACACAGATCAAATGAAAATTTGAAAAATTGAAAGGTGCGTCAAGATTTCCATTGAGTGCATTCCTGGTTGGTTAGGTCCAAACCAACCCTAGCCGAGCTGGTCAAGCCTCCCTACACAGACAGCAGATTGAAATCATGCTCAGCTTTATAAAATCAATCGAGACAAACAGTTAAAAGCACTTACCAACAATAAATCTATTTCAAAGCCCTAAAACAGTATAGAGATAAGATATATATGCCTTCCTCCCGCCAGCCACAGATGTTTGAAAAGGACATGACCGTGCATATATTAATATATTTACAAATCCTGAAATGCAGAACCAAGAAGATTGTGGCTATGGGGTCGTAATTTCTAGGGCATCTTTATACAATCTGAACTCTCACATGCAGCGAGAGAGTTGTACACAGACAGACAACCATTTATTGCATAACCTATAAAGCGCTCTATATAGAAATCAAATTAAACCTCCTTTTGTTTTTAGCTTCTGTTCTCTTCTTTACTTTGAGATAAAACCCTACTGTAGCTCGCAAGCCCGAAAGGCAAGAAGAAAGAGCCTCATCTTCCAACGCGATATTTACTCATTTCTTTCTCATCGGTCTATTATTTCTGGCTTCCTTACGTACGTACGTGTACTCTCACTCTCTCTCGCTCTCTCTCTCTCTCTGAAAAAAGCTAGTTATAATATATCATCTACCATGCATGGTGTCCTTTCGTCAAAATCTCTGCATGCAGCACTGTGCATATAAATATATATATATGCAGGGGAGGCCCTAGGCACAAGTAGCCTAGACGACTGCCTAGAACTTTTAAGGCATGTTTGCTAATTAAAATCCGAATAAACAGTTACCGGAGTAATCATAGATCATGTTAAGGAGGAATCGGAGTCATGCATTCCAATTAAGTTGATGGAGTAATTTAACCCAAAAAAAGGCTACACAAAGCTAAATTTGCTACAGGGAATCAATTTGAGCCTATTTTTATTCTAAAACGCATATGTTTTTTAAAAGACAAACTAATTTTTTGTAGTAATTAATCACACATATATAGAGTAAGAAGACAAAACGAAAGTACCATGTTACAGAATGTATGTGATGTGGCCACTCTGATGCTTTAGCCGGCCCCGCGCTATATGTGATGCTTCACAGGCTTCCTCAACCTGACAGTTTCACAGTGACGCGGCGTTGTCAACATTCGAAACTATCAAGCATGAAAATGGCCCCTCCTAATACTTCTTCCTTCCTCCTCTCCCTTCTTCGTTAGAGAAGAACCCATATTACTTTGACCAAGTCAATATGAATCTTCATAAAAGCCATTTCAACCTGTCGTAATTTATGGCAGATACTTACGCTTTCAAGTTGTGTTCATGTCGTACGACTCGATGCGACGGTGCAATGTTCTTTAACTTTCCGATGTGAAACAATACTGATAAATATTCTCAATAAATCCCCTTACGTGTAATGTCACTCAAGTCTATACTATATATGAAGGACTTGATTCCACCCAAAAATCACACTCCAACGAACAATAATCAAAGCTCTATTTTTCTGTTCAAATAGTACGTGTTCATTATTGGTTGTTTTGAAAATGGTATTAGGTTTTTGTCATTTGAGTACATGTTTCATGTTTTTTGATCCCACAGTATAATCAAATAAAATTACATGGCAGAATATCCTGTTTTCATTACTTACTTCAATACGACATGACATGTCGTCATGTTTTTTGACCTAAATAATTATTTAAAAAAATTACAAACAAAACAAAAACAAAAAAGAGCAAGAAATTTCCCCTCTCGGATCAAAGCCCATATGATATGAGTGTCCGTACGGTGAGAAAGTCCAATACAACCGCTAAAAAGAGGGAGTCTGTAGGACCCACACATCGCCCTTAACATTTTTGACTCATTGGGGCCCATTTGAATGGAGACGAGATAAAAATTTGAAAGCCAATTAAACAAGTGATGGGGACGCGACAACAATCTCGTACGGTTCACGGTAAGCGAGGCAAGAGCAAAGAAGCGTCCAGATGGTGCCACGTAATGGTGTCGGAGGTGGGGATTAACGGTGGAGATCTAGTGTTGGAACGAGGCGAAAAGCAAAGGAGCATAAATGTCACTAAGACCGACATTGGAGGCAGGTGTACACGTGAGTTTGCACGGTTGGAAGGCCCTGATTGGGTCCCACTTTGTCCGTCGTGTTGAAAGTCCAGTCGGATTGACCGTAGAATGCGGGATTCTCGTACCGGAGAGATAGAGGAACACTCTGAGAATTTTATTTACTCCACATTTTCACCTATCTGAGTCATGACGGTGATCACAAAATTCATAGTATTTGGTACCCAGAAGTGTACAAAAAAATGTAATAAATTCAGTAATAATTCTAGCTAGATATAAAGGCAGGTGGCCAAGCAGATAGTTGGAGGTCAGAATTTAATTTCTGATAGCTGCAGCCAAAAATTATTACATGAATTGATCGTTGGGCTAGCTTTGGTAGACAACACGTGTGGGGTAGGGTTAGTACTTACTTGGAGTGCCGCTCAAGCTTAAGTCATGTGGCCGGAGCCTGGGTGTGTTTGTGTTATTAATTATTTTGGGGCATGGCTAAGCTGAGCCTGGGCGAGACGTAGTTTCTCCTTTGGAGGTTTCGAGAGCAGAAAAATTTGTGTGAAATGGGAAAAAATTTATCATATATAATATATCGCGCAGTTAATCGAGAATTGCACGACCTTTTTCTCGTTCTGTTCAGAGAGAGAGATTGAAATGGACCAATCCGTCACAGACTCACAGGCTTAAATCATGCATGCGATATAGCACATCAAGTTATGGGGAAGGTAAATTTTATGGCAGCCTTAATTACTGCCAGTTTAATTTCGCCTCTATTGCCCGATTTGTTCTGCTGCATGCTCCTGCCCAATTGTACAGTCACAGTACTGCTGCTGCACAGTAAATCAATTAAAACCCAAAAAAATTGTTTTTTTCTTTCTTTCCAATTTTACACATGATTTGATCACGCAGACATCTCTTTCTCTGATATAAAAGAATTATGTGTGCCAATAAATAGCACAATTCATTGATAGATTGATACATAATGGAAAATCAGGGTGGTAGATTTCAATGGTTGCAGAGAGAGAAGTAATTAATGAACAAATAATTACTTTTATTTTGCCTTAAGGTAGTGGGATTAGAAGTCCTGATCTGATGCAAGCTGACACATTATTCAACCATGGCAAAATAATTGAATTGCAGGCACATAATTTAATCATGACAAAAAAAGAAAAAAAAGAAAAGGGATTCGAACATGAGACGTCGACTGCATAGATAACTGCACTTAATCACTTGAACACATTCCGCTCAAAACTACTTGTGACTAATATTATTTGTGGTGTTCTACACTTTTGGCCCATCATTTATTTTGAAGCAGCACACAGCAAGTTCTGATAGTGATAGTCCCCCAACTTATTGGTTGGTGGACACGCAGTCTGCTTCACTAATGTAGGACAATTATTTCATCCACGACGGAGTGGCATATTTGGTTATTTTGACTAGAAAATCAGTAATCTCCAGTCACTGAGAGAGATTCTTTAGGATACTGCCTTCACTACCATTGAAAAAGCTAGGTCCATCTAGAAGTTCTTGTCGGTTGACCTTCCGTAAATTACATGCACGATAATATGGTAATTAATGGTAAGAGTAATAATAATAATAATAATAATTAAGAGTAACATTTTTGAGAAATAAATCACAAGTTTATTTTTTCCACCCAAACAAAAAAATCACAAGAAAATAACTCGAATGAGAAGATCCTGATATCAAGTGTTAATCATCTACCTTAACACAAGATCGGTCGACACATAGGAAGATTACTCAATCGCTCAAGTGGAATCACTTGTACTATACTTAACTCATGTATGATTAACCCAAAAGAAGAATTAACGTGCGTTTAAAATTTCGGATTAGATATGCATGATGAATCGCTTAGACAAACCCGATTTGTAGTGTTTATACGATTGTGAAGAAATATTTTTGTGTGACAATCACATTGTCGCTTAGTTAACCAATTCACTAATGTTATAACCCGTGTATCTAGTAATTAATAGTATATATATGATATATTCTAGTTTAAAAAATATCAACTTTGTCAGTCACCCATTAATAACATCACCCGTATGTGTTCAAATCCTAATTAATGCGGTCTGAATGAGAGACAAAATAAGTACTACTAGTGCATATGAGAAAGTACAACAATAAATAAGAAACAAAATAATTATATGTTTTCACCCAGCCCCCAACAAACCAGAAACCAGAGAAATGAAAAAAGTTAAACACACGGGTAAAGTGGTTGTATATTGAGCTTGTTAAGTGAAAAATATTCAATTATTTCTGCATATAAACCTTTAAAACTTTGACACTCAAAGATTTTCATACCTTCGCAAACACACCAGAGACCTAGCATGCATGCTCAAGTTAACAAAATCATGAAAGCCTCTTACACATGAAAATGTTTTCCAATGAAGAACACGAAAAAAAAAACGATATCAGGAAATGCAAAACCATCAATAAAACAAGTTCGGATCTGAATGAGAGAAACAGAAGATGATAAATGAGAGACAATGAGGATATATATATATATATATAGGAGTATATTATCTCTATGAATTAAGAAGGATATAATATCCCGCAGAGCTCTTCTGTTTTGACTCAGGTGATTATATACATGAGGAAAAAAAAGAACAAAAAGAAGAAACGCTTGCTAATTAGCACATCATACACTCATGAAGATGAAGTATATCAAAGACATTTTGGGGGTGGGTGCTGCTATGTGTACAAGTACTGCATTTTACCTTTAATTTTAGCACACATGAAGATGATTGAATTATTATCTTATATGTACATAAATCTAAAAAATTCGGATCCTCTGCTTTGTTTTTCTTGACCTTTAATTTTAAGCGTGTTTTAGAAATTCAAGAGTGTGCGGACACATAGATATGTAACATATAGCTATGGTTGAAACAAGCAAGAACAAGATGAAAAGAAATAGACAGTCCAAATCAAGCATTACAAAGACATACACCAAAAGCTTAAGTTTGTCAAGTAATACATACTATGTTAGATAATCGAGACCTATAATACTTACTATGTTAGATAATCACTAAATCGAACCTAAAAACTTAAGCTGTCAGAAAATGAATCACCAATTTACTAATGTATATCAAGCTAATATCCTCCTGATGAATTAATGCTATTTGAAAAACAAACCAGAAAACAATTCCTAGGTGCCTATACTTTTTGAAGAAGGTGCGCAGTTCCTGAGAGGAGGTGTTTCAGAAAAAAGTAATTGTGAAAATTCGTTATCAAATCTTAATAAAATAATTGATCTTGTCAAATGAGAGAGAGAGAGAGAGAGAGAGAGAGAAATCCGATGACATGATAAAGTTGATGGTAGCTTTTGATGCATATTTTACTAATAAACTGGTCTCTTGATGGAATCTAAAACATACTAGAAAAAATAATCCTATGTTGGACCGAAATGATTAGAAGTATGAATAGATCCTCTAAGAGTTTAAAGTGCTCCTTGATGCCCCACTACTTCAACTCAAACGGGTCAATAAGGTTTTTTTTCTCTAGCTACCACCACGTATCCATTTGTTAAATAATTCTAAGCTAATTTCTTCGCCTAAATAATGAGCACTTTAATTATAGAAATTAAATTATGAGGAATTTTGACACAGAGTTGTCCAATCACAGACAAGCTGTCGGCCAGATTGAATAATTTAAAACACTATTTCCCTCAATTTCCTATAGCTCGACTTGTACTTTTGAACCAACTATAACTAGCAAGCAGCGGCAGACATGTATATTTTTTTCCTAATTAGCTATAGCATCAAAATATGGCAAAGTATTGGATGCAAAGCTTTGCCTTCTTTAGTAGATTAATGCTTATTTTATTAACCATGTTTCACGAAATTGGAACTCTCTCTCTCTCTCTCTCTTTCTCTCTGTGTTGCAGACTTCGCAGTATTCCACTATTTCTGTTTGGGTCAGTACCATCTGACTATCTGAGACTGATATGACAAATAAGGAAAGTCACATATGACAAATAAGGGCTCATGACACGCATGCTCCACCCATAATATATCACAAAGTACTCTCTCTCTCTCTCTCTCTCTCTCTCTCTCTCTCTCTGTGTTGCAGACTTCGCAGTATTCCACTATTTCTGTTTGGGTCAGTACCATCTGACTATCTGAGACTGATATGACAAATAAGGAAAGTCACATATGACAAATAAGGGCTCATGACACGCATGCTCCACCCATAATATATCACAAAGTAATTAACTTCAATCTCTCTAATTACAATTAGCTCATAAATCTAACAAGACCAAAACCAAATTTGAATCAAGTTACCTCGTTGTACATGCGAGCTAGTGATGTCTAAAAGTTTTTTCTCTCTTCAAGTTTTGCACACAAGAAGAAGAATTCAAAGGCATGTATGAATCAACCTATTCCTAAGACAGTAAAGTAAGAAAACGTGGCAACATGGACAAGGGGGAAGCTAAGGGAAGTCAGAGATAAAGAGAGACTTGTCTGACAAAATGTACCAATCTGCAACACACAAAAGCATTCAAAAGAAAAGTATATATATTATATATAGTGCTGCAGGACATATCTGACTACATATATATATATGATCCTTGTGTAAAGTCTTTTCATACTTTATCAAGTATGAAAAAAAAAATTGAAAAAAACTGAGTTAACTTGGAGTTTCCAGCACCAGCTTTCGAGAAATTTTTAGCATGTGTTTACCCAAGGCTGCAAATCTGTGGGTTTATAGGGATGCATGAAAAAAGAAACAAAAGAAGAAAGAAAATGCATAAAAACCAAAACGAAATTATTAGAAAAATACTTTCCAAATGAATTATGTTTTTCTTTTTGTGTTTTTTATATGAATTATTTTTGCACCGAAGAATTATGATGTATCAGTTTATAGGGATGCATGAAAAAAGAAACAAAAGAAGAAAGAAAATGCATAAAAACCAAAACGAAATTATTAGAAAAATACTTCCCAAATGAATTATGTTTTTCTTTTTGTGTTTTTTATATGAATTATTTTTGCACCGAAGAATTATGATGTATCAACTGTGATTTCCAGGAAAGGATGCAAGCAGTATCCAAATTATTATGCTAAGTTCGATACGGATTAACCATGGAAACAGAAGCAAGAAGTACAAAGTATTAATACTAACAAACAGTGGTGTACTGTTTGCACATCGAGAAGAGGCTCACTCATAATATCCCACAGAAGATGGATCTAATTAAGTAAAGGTTTGCTTTTAGTCAAAGCAAAGCAAACAGATTTATAGAAACACAGAATTAACTGATGAAAAACGCAGGTCTGTCTCTAGCTAAAGCTTAGCAGTGGCTACCAACAACCACTTGATATCATGAAATTAACTAAAACCCTAATTAACAATAACATCCAAATACCACCACATAAGTCTTAAAAAGCGTAATTTAAATATATAAAGACGGTACCCTCATATCTTCATTGGTCGTAACAGTAGCTTGCTTTGACTTCCTATTGACCTGGATGGTGATGACCTGTCGGCGGCAGTGGTGGAGGCGGCAGCTGCTGCGGCAACGGTGGCCTCTTCCGCTTCTTCTTCTCGTAGCTGATGCCTCTTGCTTTCGACTGCAAATCACGAACCTCGCGAAGGTAAAGTCGAACGGCTCGAGCCCCAAACGGGTTGGCTTCGGGCTTGCCTCCGTTTTCTTCAAAGGCGGCTCGAAGGCGCCCGATGAGGGCGTCCAGGCTGCCCCATGCCTGGCGGAGTGGGCAGGGGCAGGGAGCCGGAGGGTTCGGGTGGCCGTAGAAAGGGCAGATGGGGGTGTGGACCTTGGTCTTGCCGAACTGGTCGAGGTAGCGGAGGAATTCGAGGACGTGGGCCCCGCTGCACCGGGAGAGAGAGAGCGGGGGGCGGTGGTTCTTGAGGTATTGGCCGAAGGTGTTCCAGTCGCGCCGCTTTTGGTTCTCGTAGCGGCTGCTGGAAGCAGGAGATGAAGAAGAAGAAGAAGAAGAGGTTCCAGCTGCTCCTGCTGCTGAGGCTAGAGTAGTAGCAGGGTTCATTGAGCTTGTGTTGATAATTAGGTTATTGCTTGATGCCATGTTCATCTCATGGTGATGAGAGTTGGAGCCTCCATCCATGTCTTGGATTGAATCCATGGAATTAAGGTGTTTTATGCTTTGTTTTTGTTTGAAGAACTCTTGATTTCTTGTTTTCACCACAGAGAGAGAGAGAGAGAGAGAGAGAGAGAGAGAGAGAGAGAGTTCTAATAATTTGTGTAGCTCGCAGTACTGAGATGAGTCTATGTTGGCTATGGTTTTATAATTACGAAAACAAGTAAGCCAAGCACTCTGATGAAGAAAGAGATTAAAAGAAGACAAAGTTCTGATTAATTGATTGATATTACAGGATTTCCATTTTCTGAAAAGAGGTAGAGGGAGGGAGGAAGAGAGAGAAGGAAAGGAACTGGAAATGGTGAAGCAAAAGAAGATTTTGATGTTGATGAAGAGAGTTGATGAGACTGATGGGAGAGTACAAGCTGATAGAGGGCCACTGTTGCTCTTGACTACTCTCTCTCTTTCTCTTTCTTGTGGGTGTTTTGTTTGGTTTGATTGAGCAATATTACTATACAGAGATTTGGGAGGCTCTGGTTTTCTGATGGATAATTGTGTGCAGCTTTGGTTTCTTAAAATGTTACGGGGCTGGTTTTTCCTAAAAAGGGTGGAGCAAACTCAACTCTTAAGGGATGATTACAATTATTCTTCTTCTCCTTCTTGTGTGTGTGTGTGTGTGTGAGAGAGAGAGAGAGAGAGAGAGAGAGAGAGAGAGAGAGTGTGTGTGTGTGTGTGTGATAGAGAGAGAGAGAGAGAGAGAGAGAGAGAGAGAGAGAGAGAGAGAATTTGTGTTTTAGGGCTTTTTTGTGAAAATGGAAAGGGAGTTTGGACAGTAGGTTGAAATGGAGACAGGAAAAAGTATGAAGGGGGTAAAATTAAGGGAATAACATGATTTTGTTTCTTGACCCGTGTTGTATAATGAATTGAATGACAGTTCCTTTTCTAAAGTGACAAGAATGCCCTTGTCAAAATTTAATTTCTCTCCCACTTTTCTTCTCCTAAATTCAAACTTCAATTTCTGACACATGAATTCGGCCCCATCTGCCCTTTAAAACACTTGAAATAGTGACCTGTGTATGGAATCCCCGTGGGTTCTGATTTTTTGCACAACACCCTTCTGTGACTAAAAAAGTTTTGGAAACTAGCACATGAACTGTGAACATATTTGAATAGTTTTACACTCACATCTGATGATTAAACACAAAATAAGAGATGAAGTTTGAGCAAATGTAAGATCATCTTATTTATCCCATCTCTCTCTCTCTCTCTCTCTCTCTCTCTCTCTCTCATGCGTATGTACATTACCAAATGTAAAATGTGCAATCGAAGGATTTAAATTTCTCTTACTTAAGGTGTCTTATGTAATCAAACGCGGCAATACTTAATAAATTATTATAAGAGAGAGTATTATTCTTCATCTAATGATGAAAATTTTGTTTTAGATCTTAGGTTTCTCTATCAATAGGTAACTATTATGGTATCTGAGCACGAAACAAAATTCTTGACTCTAACTAAGGAGATAAATTTGATTGATGTTATTGTCAATATGATTAACAATGAAAGTGATGGTTATTATCTCACACACTAGCATTAGCATGATATCTACACCTTTGTTATATATGTGGAATAAAGCATATACATACAAATGGGATCGCTAATTTTTCCATTCTTATTTTCTCCACTTACACTCCCTTTTGTTTTTTTAATATTTTTTAATTAAGTGGAATAAAGCATATACATACAAATGGGATCGCTAATTTTTCCATTCTTATTTTCTCCACTTACACTCCCTTTTGTTTTTTAATATTTTTTAATTATTCTTTTTCTTTTTTTTCTTTCTATTCTACCCTTATTATACATTCATTTCTTTTTACTTTCACTTCTATATTATTTCTTTGGCTTAAATGTCAAAATGGTCCTTGTGTTTTATAACGCTGGCCAATTTAGTCCATGTATTTTCAATTTGGCCAATTTGATTTCTGTTTTTAAGACCGTTAGTCAATTTTGGTCCGTTTCTTTAAGTTGCTGCTAAATGAACATGATAATATTTTTTTCATTTTATTTTGAAAACCTATAAAGCTTTTGAAGTTAATAAAA